CTTCAAACCCGCTTGGACGCAGTCCTGCGCCACGTGCTCTAGGTGACCCTGTGTGTGCAGGGGGGCTGGACTAGATGATCTCTAGAGGTCTCTTCCAACCTTAAACATTCTGTGATTCTATGATTCTATGATAAGAAAAAACAAACAGGCCCCAGTAGAAATCAAAACAGAGATTTACTACTACAGGATCCAAGAAAAAAAAAAAAAGGCCACAGAGCCAGACACATGTTTCCATGCAGTGCGCAACTCAGCCTCACTGGCACAAATCTAAATCAGCTCTATTGATTTAACGGATATTAACGACATTTTGCAATGAAGCAGATGACAATAGAATCTGACTCACTTATATCTTGTGCAAGGCAGGCGAGAACTGAAATGATCAAAAGCCCAGGAAGCTGCACTGAGATAAAGCAGGAAGAGAATTCAATAGGTGGAAAAACCTGCACGGTTATATATGATATTCAGAGGCTCGCTCATGAAAGAATTTTTTTCCTAGAGAAGGTGAGATATACTTTGTGCAAACCTAAAGGACACAGGTTACAGGTTGCTTTTTCTCTAGTTAATAAAAAGGCCTTTTGAGTTACGTATGAGTAACGCATCATGGAAGAGGCCCTTACAGGAAGACTCACCCACGCTCACAATTTGTTGTCCTAATCCTTACCATGGTGGGGACCCAGGGGGAGACAAGCACGAGCTCACCCTGGAAACACAAGGGTTTTGTGCAGCTTCCATCTCTTTTTACGCACTTTAATTCTGACTTCTTAGTTCCAGTTTTAAGCACTGGTTACATGCTGCAATTATCCCTCATTTTCCCTTCATTCATTTCTTTGCATTCTTTGCTTCTCAATAAGTATGCCTTGCAGTAGTGATTTATACTGAGGTACATTTGTGTATTTTTTGTCTCATGAGATCTCTAAAACATGAGAAAAAAATATTGTTAGAATAGAAAGCATCAATATCAAGGACTTGTAAACAAAATAAAAAGTTATGTCTGCATGGCTTAGAAGTAATACAAAAGTAGAAAAATAACGTGATAATGCAGATCCATGAAGCAGGTTTGTATAGAGGAAGCTTGGAAAAAGAAGACAACATCCCTACATTTATTCACTTTAATGTATTGGAACACAATATTGAGGGCACATAATAAGCTGTCAAATGAAGTACCTTTCATATAATATTAATTATAAAAACATTTTGGAAGATTTAAATGCAGCTGTAGTAACATTTTCAACATTGCTATAAAAATTATTTCAGGATATTCATTTTAGGAGAAAGAAGCTTGCATGAAAGATGATTTTCAGTTCTCTTCCTTTCAAATCTTCATTTTTTTCCCATAAAAGACCTTGGGGGGGAATTTTTTTTTCTGTTTCCCTGATACGTGAGCATTTATGTGTGTAACTCTACGTGCACATGCAGCTCTGCTGACTCCTAAGCACAAGCCCACACACTGGAGCGTGTGGTGGGGCATGAACCGTGTATCGGGGTACAGCCGCGCACGGCAGCAGCTATGGGAAGGACCCAGATTTGCAGCACAACCGCGTGGTCACTTGTTTTGCTCCTGCCCACCTACTGATGGCCTCGTTACAAATATTTAAAACTGCTCCTGCTGCTCTGGCTGCTCTGGTTATTTGTGCCTATTCCCGGGGCTTACGACAGAGTCAAGTTATGAAGAAAATAAAAGACATCAAACACAATTACATTAAAAATGCAACAGGTAATATATGGATCTTTAAAAACACAGGCATCTCCCTTAACCATCCAATAAATCAACAGCTGCAAAAGTATTTCAAAAATCATTTAGAAACCCAGGGAAATTGTAAATATCCCCCCGCCCCGCCCACCATCCCTGGTTCTCCCCAGGGCGGGAGCACCGGAAGGCCCTGGCGAGGCCGGAAGCGGGGCACTTTGCCTCGGTACGCCCGCTGTC